GCCGTCTTCGACTTCGCGGCAACTACGAGCATGCCCACGCGTACTGAACGGCCACGGTCCTCTCTGTTGCCCACGGCATACGAATGCGAGCCCGCGCTGTCGTTCACCCCGAACCATCGCCCTCCCAGCGCCCAACGCGTCAAGCTGTCCATGCAGACCCACCCCATCCACCGCCCACTCCCTTGCCTGATCACTGTGGCTCACGAATGCTCGAACGCATGCAGGAGATGTCAACCCAGTGGTGGCGGCACTCCAGGAGGAGGGAGGGAGGGTTGGATGGCATTGGATGGGTGCCGTAGGTGAGTCGCGGTCGCCCTGTATCGTGCGTCGCCCCAGGACGCATAGATTTACCTTCCAGTCTCCCCGCCTCTCGTTTGATCAACTCACTGCCGTCTGCCGACCTCGATGGCATGTGCGAATGAGCCTACGCGAGGCATCGTGCGCCCGCGCTCCGCGTATCCATTCTCTTCTCGCCCTTCTACAGCGGCCAGGAGCGTGCGCGCGTCCTTCACCACCACGGCACGCGAACCGGCCGCGTTCTCTGTTCGCCACCACTGCCTTCCCAACGCCCGACGCCATGCGCCGATTGTGCAGGCCTGCGACATCCGCCACCCACTCCTCTCCGATCACCACGGCTCTCGAGCGCGCGGACGCTTACAACAGATGGTGTAACCGCGGCGGCGGCACTATAGGAGGAGGGACGGTTAGGTTGGATGGCATTGCATGGGTGATGCAGGTGAGTCCCAATCGCCCTGTCACGCGTCGCCCCAGGGCGCATATATTGATCTTCTAGACACCTCCGCCCTCGTTCGACCACCCTCGCGCGCTCTGCCGACTCGACGACTCTCGCACGAGCCCACGCGAGGCATCGTGCGCCCGCGCTTCCCAAATCGCCCCTCTCTTGTCACCTTACACAACGACTAGCCGCTCGCTCGTGCGTGCAAACCCGCCGCGTTCTTCATTCGCCACCGCCGCCGTCCCCGCGCCCAACGCGATGAGTCGGTCGCACAGGCCTGCCCCGTCTGCCGCACACGCCCTCGTCCCTTCACCACGACTCACGAACGCGCAGATACATGCGAGATACGGCGATGCGTCGTCGGCGACGCAGGAGGAGGCCAAGTGGGTTGGAGGGGCGCCACAGGTGAGTGAAGGCTGTCTGTATCGATCGTCGCACCACGGCGCATGTAACTAGCGTTACAGGGTCCTACTCCTCTCGTTCGACCACCCCGGCGCACTCAGCTGACCTCGAAGATACGCGAACGAGCCCATGCGAGGCGTCGTGCGCCCATCTCTTCTCGCTCTACGCAGCGACCAGCCGCCTGCTCGCGTGTGCTTCACCACTACGGCGTCCGAGCCCGGCGCGTTTTTCGTTCGCCGCCATCGCTTCCTCGTGCCCAACGCGATGAGCTGATCGCGCAAGCCTGCCCTATCCGCCGCCCATGCACTCGCCCGATCAGCACGGCTCACGAGCGCCCAGACGCATGCAAGAGATAGCGCGGCGTCTTCAGCAGCACCACAGGAGGAGGGCGGATAAAATAAATGCTGTGGAAGGAGTGTCACAGGTGAGTTTCATGTGCCCTGTATCGCGCGTCGCCCCAGGGCGCATTACTGACCTTCCAGAGATCTCCCCCTCCCCTCGTTCGACCACTCCTGCGCACGCTGCCGACCTCAACGACCCGCTCACAGGCCCACGCTCCGCGGATCGCCAATCTCTTCTCACCTTACACAACGACCATCCGCTTGCCCGCGCGTGCTTCGGCACTACGGCATGCGAACCCGTCGCGTTCAGCGTTCAACACCACCATCTTTCTCGCGCACAACGCGATGCGCTGATTGTGCATGCTTGCCCCATCCGCTGCCCGCTGCCTCGCCGGATCGGCACTGCTCACGAGCACGCGGACGCATGCAGGAAATGGCGCCACGTCGTCGGCGACACCACAGGAGGAGGACGGGCGGGAGATTCTGGGACGGGTGCCCCAGATGAGTCGCCCGGTATTGCGCGTCGCCCGAGGGCGCATACACTTACCTTCCAGACGTTTCCCCCCCTCGTTCGACCACTCCAGCGCCATCTGCCGACCTCGACGACCTTGCACTAGTCCATGCGAGGCATCGTGCGCCCGCGCTTCACGGATCGCCCCTCCCTTCTCGCCTTACACGACGACCAGCTGCTCGCTCGCGCGTGCAAACCTGCCGCGTTCTTCGTTCGTCACACCGCCTACCTCGCATCCTACGCGATGAGCCGATCGCGCAGGCCTGCCATAACCGCCGCCTATGCCCTCGTCCCATCAGCACGGCCCACTAGCGCGCAGACGCATGCAGGAGATAGCGCCGCGTCGTCAGTAGCACCATAGAAGGAGGATGGATAGAGTGGCTGTTGTGGGAGAGGGGCCACAGGTGAGTCGCAATCGCCCTGTATCGCGCGTCGCCCGAGGGCGCATGCACTGACCTCAGCTGGCCGCGCATGGCACCCCGCCGTCAGGATTCATCCACGACAGGCGAACGCGCACACGGACGGCTTGCGCAGCTCACCCCGCCTCACGCTCTGCTTTTCGCCCGTCTCTTTTCGCCTTACGGCCACCCTTCCCCTCGTGTCTCGTTCACCACCAGGCGGTGCGAACGCGCCGCCGACGCTGGAGGACGTGCCGCTCACGCTCCGCCGGTCGCCCGTCTCTTCTCGCCCCCTTGGGTCTCGTTCACCACCAAGCAATGCAAACGCGCCGCCGATGCTCGAGGACGTGCCGTGCCGCCTCACCCTCTGCCGGTCACCCGTCGGTCTCCCCCTCGCGTCTCATTCACCACCAAGCGGTGCAAACGCTCCGCCAACACTCGAGGACGTGCCGTGCCGCCTCACCCTCTGCTTTTCGCCCGTCTCTTCTCGCCTCGCGTCTCATTCACCACCAAGCGGTGCAAACGCGCCGCCGACGCTGGAGGACGTGCCGCTCACGCTCCGCCGGTCGCCCGTCTCTTCTCGCCCCCTCGCGTCTCATTCACCACCAAGCGGTGCAAACGCTCCGCCAACACTCGAGGACGTGCCGTGCCGCCTCACCCTCTGCTTTTCGCCCGTCTCTTCTCGCCTTACGGCCGCCCTCTCCCTCGCGTCTCGTTCAGCACCAAGCGGTGCAAACGCGCCGCCGACGCTCGAGGACGTGGCGTGCCGCCGCATGGTGAACACCAGCCCCACCGTCGCGGTTATTCCCACTCGCATTCTGGCTCGCATTCTCGCTCACGCAGCCGGGGCAGTTCTATTAGCCTCGAGGAGATGCTCTTGGAGGCCACGACCGGCGACGACCCCAATCGCCGCCTCGACGGCGCGCCCGCGGCCCTCGCCCGTCCGCACGCTCAGTCGCTCTCGCATCACCCGTCGCAGCACATGGTTATTCCTCGCATGGGTCATCGCTCGCAGTCCCCTGATCGACGCGATCGCGCATTCCATCTTGGCGTGCCGCACAACCATGCGCACTCACGCTCTGGCGCATCATCCTCGCTGTCCGCGCACCCCTCGCATTAACAGCTGCACCCATCAGCCTCTGCGTCTGGTCTGGGAGTCTCGTCTCTGGGCAGCTCTGGTGCCTCCCTTATTCCTGGACACAGTGTGGGCAGAGATGCAGTGGGTGCCCCAGGGCCACTTCCTGCACCTGGCCAGGTGCTGACATCTGAGATGCCTAATGGGACGCTGACAACTTCTGTGGCACCGAGTCGTGCAAGCCATGTCAATAGATCAGAAGTAATAAATATATCTCATATTCTATTTTAATGGGCTGCCTTTGAGGTGAGTATACCATGCCAGTGAGCTCGTGTTGACTGTATAGCATGTACATTCGGATGGACTGGCCGCCCTTGTCACCGCCGTGCAACGGCTTGCAGTAGCGCATACCCCCGCCCATCTGCGTCTGCCTCGCCGGCGCTGCACCAATCCCTGAGTGCAGGGAATACGCAGGAGGCACAATGCCCGACAATGAAAAGAAATATACAATCAATGGAGGACGATCTTATAAAGAGCTGGATGAGGCATACTAGTTACCATGTATGAAATCAACATATTATGAGAATAATGAAAAGGACCGATAGAGCTCACTCCCCGATCGGGGAGCGAAGATAACTGACATGTCCATAAATTGCAATCAAAATGAGCGTTAAACATGTATGGCTTTCCCTATCATGCTGTACAGCTAGACTATCTATATACCGGGAGCCATTAGCCCCTAATGGCCATGCTCAGAGGGCCCTCCATAGCACATTCAATTCTTGTGCTATGCTCTTCAAAATACCCTCATCTGAAAGCCACGCTTCGAATCTCGGAGGCCCCAAAGGGGCCCCAATGCCCAGTTGAGCGAAACGGGCGCTGTAAGCTTCCCAATCGGGCAGGTTTCCTCACGGTGGTGGTGTGGTCAACATTGGTCCTTCTGAGGCCGTCAGTTGCTTCTGTTGGAAGGAGCCGGTTTCCGGGCTCTTCTGGTATTGAGCGCGCTTAACGCGTCGGGAGGACGAAGGCCGAACGGCGGCTGAAACTCGTCGGAAAGGTGGTACCCTGAAAAATTAGATGATGCACGTGACGTACGCTCGGCGTAGCTATTTGCTGTATGTACTTAAGCAGCGGACGACTGCGCTGAACGGCAGTCGTTTGTACACCCTATACGCACTCTAATCAGGTCCCTGGGGCCCGAATTGGGTCAGCCATCTCGTCTGGCGACTCTGATTTCGACAGCTTCAATCACCTCGATTTTGTTGGGGCCCCCTCGCTCTACATCTCAAGCACCCAGCTAATTAAATTCTCATTATTCCGCAATTTATTTGTGTTTCTACGGGATGCCCTTTCAACTCAGTCGGTAAGCGCCCGTTATGGTCCTGGTAACTTTTTGCTTTTTTCTCTCGTGCATCGCAATCCGCTCGCTTGTCGGTGCTGGGGCCCCCTAGCAATATATCTAAATGACTCAACTGCAAAATTTTGAGTCCGTCGGTACTGTTTTCGAGGCTCCACGATGTGCCCTTTCCCCTCATGTGCACAGCGCGTCTGACCCCGATCGGTGAGTGTGCTCGCATCGTCCTCCCCTCATCTTCCTTCGACCTCATTCATGTCTGTCTCCTCCCATTTACTCTCATTGTCTTCTGCTTAGGTTAGCATGGCGTCCGCTCTCAATTTTCAGGTGAGTATTAGCCTTCGTTCAAACGATATTGACTCTTCAGCGAACAAGCGCGCACGCGCGCGCTCTACAGCACCCACCTCCTACCAACCACCGCCTCCTACCAACCACCGCCTCCTACCAACCACCGCCTCCTTCATTCACCACCGGATTCTCCCCGTCCACCACCACCGAATTCTCCCCATTCTCCACCACCGGATTCTCCCTGCTCAAGTCGATTCTGCAGGCCTCCCACATCCGCCATGCATGCACGCCATCACCCGATCACTTAGGTTAGGTTATGAGGCCCCCTAGGGCAGGCCAGGGCAGTGTTGTCGTTGACCCCGATTATGAGGCAATAACCGGGCGATAACCAGGAGTAAGGCACTTTGATCTTGACCTAGAGAAAGGGTCAAGCGTGATATGCGCATGACCCCGTGGCGGCGCATGAACGTTCATATTAGTGTACAAGTTCAACCAAACGTCAGTTCATTGCGAGAATGCTTCGTGCTCCATCACTTCAAGCCATTATTGCTAATTATGGTAAATAATGGATCATGTGCAGGTCATGCTTGACCTCTTGACCCCATCTTAACCCAGTCATTGACGAGGGGGTCAATCAGTTGACCACAGTCAAGTCTAAGGGGTCAAGCCTTGACCCTTACATCACTGGGCCAGGGTACACCGGGCGCTCCCCAGGACGGCCTTAAGCGCCCGTAGCTGCCCAGCCCGGCAGATGTGGCACCGGACACCACGTCCGCCACCTGTCCTCGCCCCGTGACACGCACGTCGATGGGCGCATCCTGGACGTGCATTCCGCCCAACACGTGCACTTGAACGGCACCCGCACGTGCGATGACATCCCGAATACCTCGTTTATGGTGCATTGCATCGCGTACGTCCCAGATGCACGCGTGCCTCGTCCGCGGACCGCAAGTGCGGCCATGAACTTGAGCTGCTCTGAGCGATGAGCGCTGCACTGCCCGCTCCATCGTGCAGCACCGCGCGGGGGGTGGACACCACGGGCGTACGTCCTCAGCACACGCGCTCGCCGTCGGGTGCGAGGGGCGCCCCGCGGGCGTACGTCCTGGACGCATGTGTTCCTCTCCTCGGACGTGGATACGTTTTCTCTCCTGCATTGACTTCTAGGCCGGTGCGCGATTTTTTTCACATTGTGATATCGTGGCAGATGTCAACTGATCCTTTGGTTGGTAGAATGCCATGCCCATGATCCATCAGGATTGGACTTGTTGGCATGATACCATGATGTGTCAGATCTCTCACCAGCGCCAGTCTATATTGATGCGATCGGACATCTGTCAAGCTGGCAAGCCGGCAAACCAGCAAAATTGCACTGCCAAGGTGTACCGATGCGGTTAGTGTAGGTGATGTGCATTGAGGCCTGCTCCACGTTTGACCTGTGGTTTTTGCATATAACCTGGAACCCAGTGTGCCCTGCCTGTCAGTCCCTCCCCCTCCCCCCAAACACCATGTCTAGCGCCAACTCTGCTCATGCAACTCGCTCACGCTCACGCCGAGGAGCAGTGTCTGATGGGGCAGCTATCATCAGTCATTCATCAGCTCGACAGCCAGCCAGACTTGGGGGTGTATCGAACTCTCCATCCAGTTCTGTCTGGAGGAAACGTGCCAGTGATGTATTTCCGATTCCTGGGGCGAAACGCAGCAAGATCGGTCAAGCACCAGACAAGGCGACGGGGATGGCTGGCCGGTTTTAGAAAGCCTTCAATGACTTGCTTAAACATATAGAGGCTTGGAAAGAAGAAGAGGACCACCGCCATGATGCTATCGTGATGGATGAGGTTGTGACCTGCTGGAAAACTGCAGTGGACACGCTGCTCATGCCAGCAAAGTTGCCACCAGAGCAGCTAAAATTGCTTGATCTGCATCTCCCACTACCAGCCTGGTTGTCACCAATTCGCAGTGAGTGCTGCTCCCCTCTGCGCTAATGAATCCAGCCTTGATCCATAAGCAGAAGGACTCCTGGAAGCTGTCAATGGAATCTGCACAGAATTCGCCACATCCGTCAAGCATGCGCAGAGCACTCTTCTTTCTCCATCTGATTTTGGCAAGCCCAGTGGCTGGGGGAAGGGCCAAGATGATGTCACTCGTATTATGTGCCTCCGTCCAACCTCGAAGAACAGTGTTCCAGTGTGCGCGCTACATGACGTTTTCCGCCAATTCATCATCGACGCTACCAGTTCCCTTCCTGAGGACTGCAGCACCACAGTCGATGCTGTGAAGTCGGCCCAGATGTTGTGCAGCATGATGGGCGAACATTTCAAGGATGAGGCGGCACGAACCAATCAATTCGACACTGGCGTTGAGTCGCTGTTCGAACGCCAGCGCTGGTCCCACAAGTACCAGTTCAATGCATCGTCAGACCTCCGTTACGGTGAGGTCGATTGCGTTTTCCTCGCAGATGGAAGCATACTGATCATCTTGTGTGAGGACAAGTGGGAGCCCAGACAAGGAGTTAGCGATGTCTACATGCAACCGGCGCGCGACTACGACCTTGCCGTGAAAGTCTTGGAGCAGAATGAACGGCATGATCCAAGGTGGACGAGTTTTTTAGCGCAGGGCTCACCGATGTTCCTCGTCTCTGTGTTAGGTATGTCTTGTGGAGCATCCAGACATTCTACCATCTGACAATTGATGGACAGGAGCTCAGCTGTCTGTACTGGGGGGCTTCTATGATGGCAAACATGTCATCGTGGAGCCATTACAGGATACCTATTACATGCTACATGATAGCAGGGGCATACGACAGGATAGGCTTGCGAAGGTGCTCTATGCACTGGCAAAAGGGCGATCTACACTAGAAAGGTGTGTTGAATGACGCCTTTAATGTTGAGATCAAACTGAAACATTCTCTCCCCCCCAGGTTGAACCTGAACGAAATGCCACCGACATTTCCCTCCTCGACACCGCGGATCTACGAGTCGGTCACGTTGTATGCGAAATCAGGAGCCTCCACACCAGGCAAGCTCGTGTTCGAAGATCGTCTCTTGACAAGTAGCCAGCGGTGGCTGTTCCATGCCACCTTGTTGACCCCTTCCCGTCTGCGTTCTCCCACCCCAGTGGTGGTCAAGTTGATCGACGGATCGTACAGCGAACATGTTCATCAGCTCTTGGCTCGACACCATCTCGCCCCTACCCTTTATGGATGTGCACATCGTGAAGGTGCTCCTACCACCTACGTCATGGAGTACCTTGGATCGGACTGGGAGACGCTGTCCCAATTCTCCGAGAAGAAACCGCATGGCAGAGTTGCAGCTCCCACAGCTGCAGATCCCATCTGGGCATCACTGAACCAACTGCTGGCGATACTGGAGCAGCAGCAGTTTGTGCACGGTGACCTCAGGATGAACAACATCATGGTGCAGGTTAATCAAGATGGCAAGGCAGTCATACAGAAAGGGAAGAAGAAGGCATGCATCAAAGTGATCGACTTCGATTGGGCTGGAAATGCTGGGCAGGTGCGATATCCTCAGTCACGCAACAAGACTCTAACAGATATCACGTGGCCTGGGACACCTGGCGGTCCAATTAACCCTGGTCACGATCGCCGATTGGTGGAATCATGGTGGTCAAAGTGGAAACATTGATCAGTCCGGATATTTGTTTGCCCCGTTGTCTTTCTTGTTCATGTCATCATTTATGGCTGTTTGCATTGTGGGACGGCGGTGACGTGCATGGACAGTATGTAGTGGTCTCTGGACTGGGTGAAATTGGACATCATCACCCTTGCAATATGCTGGCTTTCCTTCACTTGTATTCACTTCAGTTCTCTGCACTCCTATTGTGATTCCAATTCAGCAAATGCTCTAGCACAGGCAGCAACCTCAAGTTCACAAGTGCAGTCCTATCAAAGCCAGCTCCAATGTTGAAAAGGTGGCAGCAGCATGTTTCACATCTGCACTGATGTGTATTGACTTCGCTAGAGGCGGCAACTATGTACACTGCAAATGAAATGAGATCGAACGAGTAGCATCCACAAGTGGACAAGCATGTGCTACTCGAGCTGGAGGCACTGTGAGGCGCGATTTTGTCAAGTCCAAACGGACCACCATGTACAATACCGACTCGCACGCGTGACCGCCATTATTTTTGCAAACTGCTGTAACAGCTTATGAGCATTTGTGTCACCATGAGTGATGCATCCTAGATGGTAGTATCCTTCATTTCCAGTATCATTGCACGTCCACGGTGCGTACGTCTCAGACGTATGCTCAGTGACGGAAAAAAATGCCCAGCTTATATGTGCAGGGAGGGGGCTGAACTTGGAGCGGCGCTCAGTGGCATTGGTCGCGGACTTGAAGGAAGCATTCCATCAGAAGCGGACGAAGTCGCCACGTATCAGAAGGGCCTCATTACCAGGTGATCTAGAATTTTAAGAAGCAGCGCGTTGGATGGGCAGATGTTCAATTCGCGAAACTATTTGGAATGAGAAGCGGTCACCGATTAATTTCCTCGGGTCATGCGTACATCGTGGACGCACGCACGTCGCATGAATTGAAATTCACCCAACCGGCTCCTACGCAGCTGTGCAGAAGAACCACATAGAATGTCCGTGAATTTCAATTCATGCGACGTGCGTGCGTCCACGACGTATGCATGACCCGAGGAAATTAATCGGTGATTGCTTCTCATTCCAAATAGTTTCGCGAATTGAACATCTGCCAATCCAACGCGCTGCTTCTTAAAATTCTAGATCACCCGGTAATGAGGCCCTTCTGATACGCGGTGACTTCGTCCGCTTCTGATGGAATGCTTCCTTCAAGTCCGCGACCAATGCCACCGAGCGCCACTCCAAGTTCAGCCCCCTCCCTGCACATATAAGCTGGGCATTTTCTCCCTCAGCTTTTATCCCCCCAAACCATCTTTCTGCATCCAAATGCCGTCCAACACTACTGCACACACACTCCTCAACCTGTTTCTAGCCAAGCCTGAGGTGTGGCAGTGGCCAACATGGAGCGAGCTGACTGGGTCTACCGGCCTTCCGTGGAATAGGCATGACGGCGATTCGACGGCGAACACGAAGGCAGACGGTTCGAAGTGGACAGCAGAGGACGTCATGAGCTGTCAGGCATTCATCGAGCAACTCAAGACTCTTCCCGCCAATGACAAGGGGAAGTTTCTGAACAAGCGCTGCAAGGACCAGTACACGGCGGGCCGCGATGTCGTCGTGCCATTCCTTTGGAAGATGTGGAAAGATTGGAAGATCACGCAAAAGGTCGAAGGCGTCCTCGCCTTGCACGAAAGGAGTGTGGCTGACATCTTGCAGTCCTTTGAGACTCGCTCGGTAAGTTTCATTCAGCCACACATGACGCCTGCTTGTTTCTGACCTCAGATCAGCTGCCAACGATTGAAAGGGCGCAGATCGCCTGTCACGCCTCGATCACAGAGGCTCTCTTCGGCGCGGACGCGTACAGGAACCGAGTGGTGCTGCATGATGAATGTTACGACTTCGTCCAGGACGCACTCGTCCACGTCTGGCAGTGCCGTCGCCAAGGCCTGACCCGTGACGCGCTGCTGCTAGAGGCGAGGAAAAAAGTGTTCGACAACCTTTTCAAAAGTAAGTGGTATGTCATTTACTTGCAGTGCAAGCTGACCTGCTTCGTGTAGAATGCGAGGAGACCCTCCCCACGAAGGCGACGCTGAAGAAGATGCTGAACACGTTGCAGAACATCATGAAGACCTTGGAGAAGTATGGCGACAAGGATGCGATGGAGGAGCTGGCCCAGAAGAGGGAGACCATCAAGAACCTGCTAAACGTGGTCGACCCGTCGCTGGGCATCGGCCAGAAGATGAGTAAGTACTGGGGCACTGCATGATGTGTGCAAAAAGCAAGCTAACACGTTAATCGTTAGAACTCCCCAAATTGCTCCGCCAGGCGCTGTCTGACCTTGCCGGTGACGCAGAGCTCGAGATGCTCTCCCAGTCACTGCAGGCCATGTTGGAGCCTGGGGACGGCACCCCGGTCGAGGTGCTTGACTTCGAGTCTCTCGACATGAATTGGGACACAGGTGTCGAGGAGTTCCAGGAGATGAACGCAACGCAGCTTCATGAGCTGCTGGGTCTGCCCAAGGAGGGGCTGCCATTCTTCAATCGCAAGGAAGACCCCATGAACGCCCACGATCCATGGTCAGAGGAAGGCCAGGAGTGGCTCAAGACATCGAAGGATGCCGTCGCGTTCGGTCCTCGCTGGCACCAGCTTGTGGGGATCGTGAAGATGACGTGACGGATGCTGGCGTCTCAGCCCATGTTCATTTTCGACAAGGTCGGCGTCGGCAAGACGATGCAGGCTGTGGGGCTTATCGCTCTGAGGGCATATTACGTCCACCACTACCAAAAACACGGTCACTTGCCGGGCCAATGGGATCTGTCCTCGATCAGTGAAGGTGAGAACATGGGCGGATTGAAGGATGAGCCTGTTGTGGTCGTCATGACGGTGAGCCTTCTGTCGCAACTCCTGGCAGAGTTGCGACGCTATCTGCAACGTGGCTGTTTCGACATGCTACCATATACCGGCTCACACAAGACGCGCGCTCAATGGTGGGAATTGTACTACGTCAAGTCAAAGACCCAGAAGTGTCAGCAAATTATTGTCACCACCTATTCGGTACGTCTTGCATTGCTGTGACGGGGAGGACGATCTAATAGCATCTTTACAGGCAATTGCGTCCGACTGGCAGGTGCTTTTCAAGCCGAAGACTCCGGACAAGCATCTGGAGTCACAGAAGAAGCACGGGTTTGAACAGCTAGTGGATCAGACCGTCTTCGGGAGGCATTTTGGCCTCGTGATTTACGACGAAGCGATGTGCGCGCACACGCTGTCAAAGCCGTATTTCACGTGCATGGAGCTGCGGAAGTGTAGCGACAGTGTGGTGGTGATGATGGCGATGCCACTGCTCAGTCGTCCGGAGGTGAGTGCTCAATGAACATCTGGAGGTCGAAGCTGACAACCTGTCGCAGGATCTGTGGAACCTCGGAAGATGGGCGAGGTTGTCGACGTTCAGCCCCGACTTCGAGACGGTCGTCAAGGAGTTCAAGGACGACCTGAATGCTGCGCAGAGGGCAGACCACGCCCAGAAGAAAAAAGACAACAAGGGCAAGTTGGTCGTGCAGCGCGTCGCCAGGGGAAAATAGGTCGACGTCGGTGGCGAGGCATACGACAGCGTCGCGATCATCACGGAGGATGCACGAAAGCGGTTCGAGGGCGCTGTGATGCGCCGCACTGTCGACTCGCGAGACTACGAGGGCAAACTGATCTCTGGGTTGGAGCCCTACGAACAACACATGGTGCTCTTGAAGCTCAGCCACAAGGAGCAGAACACGATTGACGAGCTCGCCGCTGAGATGAGCCAGGACGCTGGCAGAGCCTTGTCTCTCATGCACGGATGGGTAAGTTTCCTCTGCTCTTTCATTTCAGATGATGCGGGGATACGCGCGTCGTGGACGTACCTGACGTGCATGTGTGACGTCATCCTATTGAGGCTCATGCCCCCGCGGTGTACGTCTCGGATGTACGGCCATGCAGGGCTGGCGTTGCTATGCGCTGGTCCACGCACTACAGCTGGCGCATACATCTGAGATGTACGCATGCACGAGCAGCACGTTCGCTCGATGCCGAATGCTGCCCCCGCACCTGAGCTGTACGTCGTCGACGTACGCATGCCATCGCGTGACACGCTAATATGATTGGTGAGAGTACTCACCGCTCTGTTCACAGAACTTCTACCTCGCGATTCGTCTCGCGCTGACGCACCGCTCCCTCTCCAACTCCAGCGGTCTCTCCATGGAGGTCCCCACGACCCTGGATGCATGGCAGGCGATCGAGTCGACGAAGATCAAGGCGCTCATCGCCATTCTGCAACATCATCTCGCTGAAGATCGCGCGGTACCCCTCACCACTCGGGAGGTAGTCCCCACTGCTGGGGAGGAACCCCCCACCGCTGCGGAGCAAAACCGGCTGGTCCCAATGGAGGACCCCCCATTCGAAGAGTACGACGGCGATCAGCCGGACAAGATCATCGTCTTCGTCACCTTCCCTAGCAACTTGACCTTGCTCAGTCCGGTGAGTTTTCGGATCTGATTGAAATCTCATTGAGCACCTTACGCATTCGATGTTACAGGTCCTCAACATGTACGGGATCAAGCATGAAACCCACACGTCCAGGACGTCGATAGCGGCTCGCACGAAGGCCATCGAGGACTTCAAGAAGGCAGGGCGAGATGGCCCGCGCGTGCTCATTGTGTCCGCGGTCGGGATTGTGGGGCTTAACTTGGCGTGCGCGAATTATGTCATCATGATGGTGAGTACCCGCTGTCCGACCACGTTGCCACACGCTCCTTCTAACAGCACATGCCATAGGATACCCTGTGGTCCACGCAGGAGGACGACCAGCTGATTGGTCATGTCTGGCGGCAGCCGCAGCCGAAGCTCGTCCACATCTATCGGTTGATCGCCCGAAATACGCCGGACGTGTTTCTGAACAACATCTCCTTCGACAAGGGCACAATGTTGCGGGCGTTCTATGGCGCATCGGTCCAATTGAGTAAGTGCGATGATACGTTCTCCGCGCTTTTGCATACTAACATGCTGAGTGCCTCAGAGAACGTGTTTGACATTGACCTCGATGCAGCTGATGGAACCGACGACGAGCACGACAGCGAAGAGGACGAAGAGCTGAAAGCCCCCAGGTCAGAAGAGGAAGGCCACGAAGACGGCCACAGCTCAGACGGCGGGTGCGGGCCCATCCAAGCGCCAGCGCAAGAAGAAGTCGAAGGCAGTTGTCTCCGAAGATGAGACGGGGACAGCGCACGCGATGACGATGGCTGGTCCATCCGCGTCCTCGGTCCCGGCAGCACCTGCACCCGTGGCAGCACCTATCTTTAGGCCAATGGCTCCAAGCCCCTTGGAGCCATCACTTTTGTTTTGGTTCTCTTCAATTCATTTTTGATTTTGTGGGCTCACTGACACCCTCAATAGAAAGCTCGGCATCCCATTGGTCCGGCGCAACTGCGGCGCAAGTCTAATGTTGCGTTCTGATCGCTTGGCGCTGTCGGCAATCTTCTCGATCTCTCTGTGACCCACTCTGACAAAATGCTGCCTCTAGCTCAGCGTACGTGATTGCCTTCACTTGCGCCGCATTTGCGCCCGCTCTGATACCCTCCTGGCTACGCTGTCATGCATTTCTGGATCTGGCGCAATCGAAACCACTCTTACCGGTTCAATTCTTTCTGATAACTCATTAGGCGCGCGTTTCCCAGCCTCTTTCAGGTGACTTTGTCGATGAACAGCGCTTGCGCCAGGTCCGAGGTTGTTGCTACAGGTTATACTCTGTTGCAACATCCTCCTCTTGGCTGGAGGAGCCATATTGATGCAGGTATGCCATGATTTTGCTATATGAACAGGCACGTTAGCTATTCCCCGATTGGGGAACAGCTCCACTTCTGTGAGTGCTGTTTTTTCATATAGTTCACAATGCAAATCCTCAGGGCAGTCCCATCTGCTTCACCAGAACATTGCGGCTGACTGCGGCGCTTTCAATCTCCCAAACACTGAAGTAATCCGCTGCGCCCATATTCCCTGATCGGGGAACTTGCGTGACCTCCATTTTTTTTCCTAGTCAGCACTATAACATCGTCGGTGATGCCGGAGGAGGGCGAGTGCGTTGGAGGGTGCAATAGATGAGTGCTAGTCTGTCTGTATCGCGCGTCGCAGCGCGGCGCATACAGTCAACGTTCCGCAGACCCCCTCTCGTTCGACCACCCCAACGCACTCTGCCGACCTCGAAAACCCTCGCACGAGCCCACGCGAGGCATCGTGCACCCGCGCGTTCTTCACCACCACGGCACGCGAACCGGC